GTATACTTCGCTGGTTAGAGCTGGAACCCGTACTATTAAGTGAAGGTTCCCAAGAATGGAAAAACAAGCACCACATGTACTCACCAGCAAATTGGTATTAACTGAACAGCACCCAAGTGGTCACATAGGTACTGCAGTAATAGGGTATTGGGCAGGGGGGAGCGGGCGGTATATACATATATAATGAGTGAGATGTGCACCATCTGGGGGATGGTCATGCTGGGAGACTCAGACTTGTGGGGAGGGGGGGAAATGGGCATTTATTGAAACCTTAAAATCTGTACCCCCATAATATGCCGAAATAAAATAAATAAAATAAATAAATAAAAGAAAGAAAAAAAGAACCCATAAAAAAAGTGGACAAAAGACATGAATACAGTCTTTTCAAAAAGAAGATAGACTAATGGCCAACAACTATATGAAAAAGAGTTTTTAAATTGTTTTTAGAGATGCAGTCTCACTATGTTACCCAGGCTGGCCTTGAACTCCCGGCCTCAAGCGGCTCCCTTGCCTCAGCCTTCCCGGTCGCGGGGACTACAGGTGTGCACTGATGTGCTCGGCTGTGATGGCACTTTTAAAGGCTCCACTTCTCTGTCTCCTCAGGGCCCAGTGCAGTAGCCTTTATTTCCTACTCTTCTCTTGGAAACATCATAAACGCATCGTTTTTCGAGGAGACGGGCGAGAAACGTCGCATTTACCTGAACTCCCGGGTGGTGAGCGCTGCTATCGGACCCAAGAGGAACACGTCTCTCTCCAAGTTTGTGACCCTGACGTTTCAGCATGTGAAGGTGGGTCACGGCTGTGATTTGAGCTCACGAGGTTTCGTGGCGGCGGACCAAACCGTGTGTGTGACATGGTCCCCGTCAGTGGTTCCGGGCCGGCGCGCTGCCGTGGGGCAGCCAGGAGCACCTGTGGCTCTTGGCGTTTGAAATGTGGCCAGTCTGAATCAAGATCTTGAAGACAGGCCAGGGGCGGTGGCTCGCGTCTGTAATCCTAGCACTCTGGGAGGCCGAGCTGGAAGGATCGCTTGAGTTCAGGAGTTCAAGACCACCCTGAGCAAGAGTGAGACCCCATCTCTACTAAAAATAGAAAAATTAGTGGCTCACGCCTGTAATCCTAACACTCTGGGAGGCCGAGGCGGGCGGATTGCTCGAGGTCAGGAGTTCGAAACCAGCCTGAGCAAGAGCGAGACCCCGTCTCTACTATTAAATAGAGAAAGAAATTTAATTGGCCAACAATATATATATAGAAAAAATTAGCCAGGCATGGTGGCGCATGCTGTAGTCCCAGCTACTCGGGAGGCTGGAGGCAGCAGGATTTTTGAGCCCAGGAGTTGGAGGTTGCTGTGAGCTAGGCTGACGCCACGGCACTCACTCTAGCCTGTGGCAACAAATCCGAGACTCTGTCTCAAAAAAAAGAAAAAATTAGGCCGGGCGTCATGGCATGCACCTGTAGTCCCAGCTACTCGGGAAGGCTGAGGCAGGAGGATCTGAGGGTGCTCGTGAGCGAGGCTGATGCCTCTTGCACTCTAGCGCCAGCGCAACAAAGAGACACTCTGTCTCAAAAAAAAAAAGTTAAAGGGGAAAGGTAGGAAAATGTAGTTTTTTCCCTATCGCGTACATAAAATCTAGGGTACCCCTAATGCACGGTAGATAGAGGAAACAGGGCAAGAAGTCCGAGGCCATCAAAGGGGACATAGGCCCCAAACCACAGAGCATCCGACCCACCCTCTCGGCCCCAAGAAGCCATGCTCTGAAGAAGCCGTGAGACACAGAGAAGAGATTAAAGGCTAATTTGTCTCTGTCCTGCGTGACGTTTCTTTCCTGTACACCACGCCTCTCATACGCGTGAGCAGAGTACTGTGTGATAAGGTGTCACGGGAACAGAATTGATGAGAAGGACCAGGAGAATTCGGTGTAGAGAGAGTTTTAGAGAAACCCTTGCAGAGACCCAGACTCCCTTTGGTGGTTTTTGTTTTGTTGTTCCTTGCTGCTCTCATGAATCAGGGAGTCTCTCCAACCTGACCGTCGCCAACTACTCCGGCACGAACAGACTCATGAAGTGGCTCATGTTCCCCGTGGGCTACGGGGTCCCCGCTGTGATCGTGGCCATCTCTGCAGCATCTCACCCTCACCTTTATGGGACCCCTGATCGGTGAGCTGGACTCTCGCCCTGTGCAGTGGACGGTTTCCTAAGAAAGGTTTATTTTGGGAGGGGGGCAGCATTCTTGAAGAGGAGGGGTACACATGCCCAGTGCATTCTGCGTCCCCCTTTACAGCAACTCTCACCTCTCTCCCAGTGAGGATGGATAAGACGGCGGTGAGAGCTCGGAAGATTCTGGAAGGAGGGAGTTTTGGGGGTTAGGTCCCAGCTTCATCCTTCCCGCAATTTGGAACTTCGAATTCTCAAGTCTCAGTCCCCTTATTAGTGAAATGAGAGGAACAGTTGTGCCCATTGTCCTGACCTCACAATCCTGGTGTGCGAACTCAACGGGACTGTGCTCTTAAATTTTTTAACGTACGCCGGGCACGGTGGCTCATGCCTGTAATCCCAGGCATGCCTGGGAGGATCGCTTGAGAGCAGGAGTTCGAGACCAGCCTGGGCCACAGCGAGACCCATCTCTACTAATAATAGAGAAAAATCAGCCGGGCACAGCGGTGCACACCTGTAGTCCCAGTTCCTCAGGAGGCTGAGGCAGGAGGATCGCTTGAGCCCAGCAGTTGGAGGTCATAGTGATCCATCATGCCGCCCCAGCACTCTAGCCCAGGTTGACAGAGCTAGACCCTGTCTCAAAATCAAAATGTTTAACATAACGCTGGCACACGACAGTGAGAAATCAAAGCCGCGTTCGTAGTCAGCTGACTTTCAGGAGGAGTTGGAAGGATTTTCTGACAGTGAAAAAAGCGCCACTTGGTGTTCGTGTGCTTCCTCTGACCTCTCCTTGTGTCCCTTTTCCAATTGTTCCCAGCTGCTGGCTCAGCCTGGATCAGGGATTCATCTGGGCTTTCCTCGGCCCGGTCTGTGCCGTTTTCTGTGTGAGTATGAGCCTCCGGCGTCCCTAGCCCAGGAAGAGCCGCGGGAAGTGCCGGGTACAAGATAGGACGGGGCGTGCGTGTCCTCTGCCGCGTGATTTGACGTGTCCACCTGCTGCCAGTCCCACCCCCGTGCAGGGAGGGAGAGCTTTTGCGTGCAACCTAAAGGGGACACTGCACACCATTGCAACTTGCGCCCCACGCTGCCCGTGTTGTTCCTGCAGGTGAACTTAGCATTTTTCCTCTCCGTCCTTTGGATTTTGAAACGGAAACTTTCCTCCCTCAATAGCGAAGTGTCAACCATCCAGAACACAAGGTAGGGTGTGACAGCTGGTGTTTCCCACGCCCTGTTCTTCTACCCGCCCCTCTCGTCCCACCCCCCACACACACACACACACGTGTCTACCCCACAACCACGCTCCAGGGACTAGCAAGGCCAGGGCCATCTTCCATTGTCACAGTTCATGACAACCTGCATTTGCTACAATGCAGGCTGAGCTGCTGTGACAAAAAGGTCCCAAAGAAAGAAGGAGGTAATGGAAGTTTATTTCACTCTCATGCCACCGTCCAGCAGGTGAGCAGTCCGGGGCTAGTGGAGAAGCTCTGCTCCACAAAGTGACCCAGGGACCCAGGTTCTTTCTGTTTCGTTGCTCCGTCATCCCCTAGGAAGGGGGTGACATAGAAGTGGCACATTCCACATTTGCTCATAGCCCATTGGCTGCCCTTGGTCACATGATGGCACCTAGCTGCAAGGGAGGCTGGGAAATGTAGTCTCTGACTGGGTGGCCACATGCCCTGATAAATCTCAAAGGAGAACGAGACTTAACACTAAAAGAAAGAGGATAAGAAAGGCGGGAAACTGTCAGTTTCTGCCATACTAACACAGGATGCATACTTTTTTTTTTTTTTTTTTTTTTTTTTTTTTTCCCCCCGACGTCCTGATCAGGACTGCTTTTCAAAACCCGCTTCCGGCAGGCTCAGTGTCTCACACCTGTAATCCCAGTGCTTTGGGAGCCTGGGGCAGGAGGATCTCTTGAGGCCAGGAGTTCAAGACCAGCCTGGGCAACATAGTGAGAGCTCTGTCTCTACAAAAAAAAAAAAAAAAAAATTAAAATTAAAATTAGCCAGGCATAGTGGTGTGCACCTGTAGTCCCAGCTACTCAGGAGGCCAAGGCAGGAGGATTGCTTGAGTCCAGGAGTTCGAGGCTGCAGGGAGCTGTGATAGTGCCACTGCACTCCAGCCTGGGCAACAGAGTGAGACCCTGTCTCGAAAATAAAAAATCTGTATAGCAACTGCCTGCAATAAGACTGTGATCAAGACGAGGGGACTGAGCTACAAGAAGGTAAAGTGATTTACCGCAAGGTCACACGCTTACCTAGTGCTGGCTTGAATTTAAACCTGGGTAGTCGATCTTCAGAATCCTCGCTCTAGCCGCTACACGATAGGGTGTCTATATCCATTATTAGCTTTTTGACAGCACCATCTCTGGCTCCTCCCAGGATGCTGACACTTAAAGCGACATTTCAGCTCTTCATCCTGGGCTGCACGTGGTGCCTGGGCGTTCTGCAGGTGGGCCCAGCCGCCCGCGTCATGGCCTACCTCTTCACCATCATCAACAGCCTTCAGGGTTTCTTCATTTTCCTGGTCTACTGCATCCTCAGCCAGCAGGTAAACAATGGCCTCTCTCTTTGTTGTTTTAAGCTTAAGAAAACTCTGGGCTGGGCGCGGTGGCTCACACCTCTCACCCTAGCACTCTGGGAGGCTGAGGCTGGAGGATTGCTTGAGGGCAGGATTTTTTTTTATTTTTTGTTTTTTTTCTTGAGACAGAGTCTGGCTTTGTTGCCCAGGCTAGAGTGAGTGCTGTGGCATCAGCCTCGCTCACAGCAACCTCCAACTCCTGGGCTCAAGCGATCCTCCTGCCTCAGCCTCCCGAGTAGCTGGGACTACAGGCATGCGCCACCTAAATCTACTGGCAATGGGAGAAGCTAATAGAAGTCGCAGTCACATACAGCTACATCTATCTCCGCGGAATAGTGGAACCTAGATGTCCTAAAGCACCGCGTTTGAAAGCCCCAGAGGCAAAAAAGTCCAGAATACAGTTCCACAAACAGTTAGGCCTGTGGTGTGGTTAGAACGAAGAAGATGATATCTATCAGTGAATACACAGTTGCAGACCAGAATAACCGTCGGTTGGTCTGGTTAAGCAATCAGGAAAAAAAAGATAAAAGGTAGGGCATGGAGAGAGCACTGGCATGAGTCATTTATAGATCAACCAGAACACGGTGCAAACTCATCTATCGGCTGACAAGGAACGGGAAGAGGGCGCACGACTGCACCAAGACGGCATGCAGAAATTTGGGGGGCCCCCGCAACATTACTCGGCCCCCCGAAATCGTTCCTACTTCGCACTCGTCGGTGTCTGTCTTCACTGCGCTGTACTGCACCCACGCCAAAACTCACCACGTACGTACAACTTTCGGTGCCTGTCACACCCCGGTACCTGTTACCTAACAAAGATTCGCCCGTGACCTTTCTAATCCGGTCCTGGAATCTTCAATAAACAGAAGCCCGTCACATTCTGTTTGTTTTTTTGAAATTCATTCTCAAACCTTCTGGCGAAACTGAACCCGCGCCCTCTTAGTTCAACACATGAACACCATCTGTCTACGATTCTGCCGCCATCCACTCAGCTGCTCGCTTGATCTCTGCACGTCTACATTCGTCTCTGCACTTGGGACCCCCAGCCGCTTTTCCTCCACTCCCGGGCCCCTCAGTTCCACATTGTACACACAACACTGGCACTCCGACATAGTGTCGTCACACTCGACGCTTACGACAACTCAAGGTGGCGATTTGCTCTATTCTACATCATTAGTCTCACTCTCTCTCTGCTCTCGTGGCTACTTATACACAAATTCTCTACAACATACCATCCATTCTAGAATGTGCTATTCTCTCGCTTATTCTGCTTCTTCTTTACCCCTTCCTCACCATGCCACCAAACAACAGCAGACAGTACAGACCCTGTACGCCACCATCCACACTTGGACACATTTCCAGTCTTGTGCCACCTCTGCTTTTTCTCTTTTGACAGACAGCACGTCTCGCCCGCGGCCACCAACTTCTGCTTCTTTATGCTACAACTCATTTTAATGCAGCCTTCTTTCTTCTGCTCTTTCCCAGCTTTGCTTGCACGCAGACACGCTGCGCACATACAATCCGTCACTACCACTTTAGGTGTCCGGCGCACCTGCAGACTTCATGTGCGTGCTGCCCGCAGAACTTGATTCGCTCATCCACACGCACGCAACCGTCGCCTCACCATGGCTACCTTTCCTGCACTTCCACTGCCAGCTTGTCTTCTTGATCACAAACTCACTCTCAGATTCCACTATCTTACATGAACAACAATGGTTCCCTCCCGTTCACGGGGCGACGTCCATCACTCATCTTTACCACAGTTGCTCTCTCTGTCACACCAGTTCCCATCCAACACACAACAACTAAACCAGCGGCCCGGGCCCGGCTTGCTTCACCGTCTGTCATCCACCGCACTCTGGGAGCGGAGGCGGGTGGACTTCGCTGACGCGCCTCGCCAGTCATCGAAACCAGCTGACCACGAGTGCACGACCCCCGTTTACACTACATCACATACCGAACACGACAACTTCAACTCTGGCCAGCTACTACTACTATCATATACTAAACCTTCGGCGGCAGGGTGGCCGCACACGCTGTACGTCCCCAGCTACTCGGCGGCAGGCTGAGGCCAGGCAGGACTGGCTCTGCGCCCCAGGACGTCTGCGCACGGTTGCTGTGACGAGGCTCGACGCAGCACGGCCACTCACTCCTACGCCTGGGTGACAAAGCCATCTTTTCGCCATCCGTTATCTCAAGCTCACCTAGCGAACTTCCCTCTTGTTAGCGCCCAAACTCTGCCCCTCTTGTCACGTGATTGCTTTTCTGAGGATAACTGCCAGACAATAGACATGACTCTCTTTTGCTTCAAAGGCAGCCTGTGCGAGGCTCAACGATGGCAGCGAGCCGCTACGGTCTCGCCTGACCTCCCTGAACTTCCGGTTCTCCTCATCCCGTATCAATCCGCACGCCCCTTCCAGGGTGAGCAGGAGCACGGTTTACTACCAGGTGGCCATGAGGCCCAGGCGGCCGGTGGCTCACACCTGGAATCCCCGCAACCTCTGGGAAGGCCCCCACCAGGCCAAGGCAGGATCCTCTTGAGACACGGAGTTCCAAGACCTGGCCTGGGCGACATAGCCAACACCCCGTCTCTACACAAACACAACTAAAGATACCAAAATCACCCAAAGTCCGGCGCCCAGTGGCTCACGCCTGTTACTCACGCACTCTGCGGAGGCCAAGGCGGCGGATGCCTCACGGTCCAGCGAGTCTCAACACAACCAGCTCGAGCACACGAGCGAGACCCGTCCTCTCACTCATACAACTCCCAGACCACGAGCATTAACTTGCCACACTAATACATACACTCAGCAAAAAATCTCAGCCGGGCGTGGTGGCCACATGCTGTAGTCCCAGGCTACTCGGAGGCCCTGAGGCAGCGAGGACTCGCCCTTGAGCAGCGAGTTCGGAGGCTTGCCTCGTGAGCGAGGTCCAGACGCACGGCCACTCACTCCTAACGCCTGGCAACAGAGTGAGCATTCTGTCTCAACAAAAATACACCAAAAATAAACGACATGCTAATCACCAGAGTCTTACGTACGTGTCTGGCAGCACCGCATCCTACCCGACACATCTGTAATGTGAGATGTTATCAACGTCCTATGCCCATTTTTGAACAAACAAACCACCCCCAGACACGAGGTCTCACTGTGTTGCCCAGGCTGGACTGGCAGCTCCTGGGCATACAGACGACATATACACTAGACACAATCCAACCGCCCTCCGCACGTAGGCTGGACCCTGCCGGCGTGCGCCACACCCATGCCCGGCCTACCTGTGCCACCATTCTTTTACAACCAGTTATCCAACATCCCCTGAAGCTGCACGTCTGCTTTTCTTCCCAGCCATCCCGAAACTCGCAGTGGTCCCCAGACAACTCTGCCCTCGCAAGACCAAACGAAGCCACATTCAGCTTGCGACGGCCCAGACTGAACTCGCTGGACATCCACCTGCCATGACCTTGTCCACGGGACAGCCATGCCAACCGGTACACTGCTGACCAGTCTGCCTTCAGGATCTTTCACACACAGCAGTCAGCTCATCCCCACTGGTGTGACCGCTGGGGACAACATGCCACGCTACGGTCTCCCTACACCGCCGTCCTGTCGCACTCCAGACACTGTGTCCTGCTGAGTTTTGTCCTTTACACTTTCTTTTTTTTCAAGTCACGCTTTTTCTTTCGCTTGCTCTGTTACGTTTTCTTTCTGCTTTTTCTTTTCTTGTTGTCTTTTTTTTCTGACATACACGAGTCTCGCCTCTGTTACCGTGGCATCCACAGCTCTACGCTCACCAGCAACTCCAACATCCTGGGCTCCACAACGCGCTCCTCTGCCCTCAGCCTCCGCTGTGCTGGGACTACCAGGCATTACACGGAATCCGCCACACCATCGGCTACATTTTTTCTACATATACCCCCTTCTTCCTCAGTCTGGCCAATCTAATTTACTTTTCTACAGTAGCCAGACAGGGTCCTCGCCTCTTGCTCAGGCTCGGTTTCTTGATCCTCTGACCTCCAAGCGATCCTCGCTCGGCTCCCAGCAGTGCTACCGCACTTCACAGTCGTGAGCCGACCGACCTGGCCTCAGTTTCTTGTCCTTCTAACAAACCAAACAAACAGCACATCCCTCCCAAAGTGCGGAATCTTCCTCTGTTTCTTCCCAGCAATGGAGCCAGACTCTCTTTGCGGCTTTGTGGGTGTCTCCCTTTGGGCTTCACCCGGAAGCCAGACGCTGGCCACAGGTGTAACCGGAATTCTATCTGGGAGCGTCATCCTACAGGAGCATCTGGCCGGAATACTTCATCCGGGCTCTCTCAGCCGCAGTCCCAGCCCTTTTCTGGCAGCCCAGGGACCCATTTTCCATCGGCAACGACCAATCTTTCTTTCACAGCCCAGGGACGTCGGGTCGGTTCTCCCACAGGATGATCCCAAGCACGTTACAATTTATTGTGCACCTTTGTTTTCATTCATTCATCTCATTGTCATCCAGATAATCGCAAATAACTTATACACGCACGTCTCACACACTACGCTTGGCGGGACCCGGGTCTAGATCACCGCACTGCACCCAATTCGCACAGGGCTCAGGGGGGCTGGGCGCAACGAGAAGAGAGCATACTTACACGCGACTTCGGCCTCATCGTGCACTCGACCGCGAGACTGCAAGTCCAAACATCTGCCAGGGTAGCGCGGCAAGGCAGCGCTGGAACGCAGCAAAGAGACGTATGATGTCACACAGCTTGATCCCAGAGATCAGCTGCAGTCAGATCCCCTTCTTCCTCAGGGCCGGTGGTGGTCACGCTTGTCGTCCCAGCCCTCTGGGAGGCGCGCAGCGGCGACGCATCTCGAGGTCAGGAACAGTTCTGACCAACCAGCCCTGAGCCAAGCAGCAACGACCACGTCTCTAACTACACAAACTGCGAAACAACATTCATCGGCCAACCGTAACACAACTATCATACACAACAATTAC